GTTACCTGCCGGAAGGAAGGGCAATCTGTGTGTAATTTACATTAGTACCAATAGTACTGCACTGGTAAGCAGTATATCTTCACTGCACTGCTCTGATCGTACTTGTGGCAGGTAAGTGTCGAAAACTGCGTCGATTTATTTTGTCTTCAAACTTCTTACCGGCTTCGAGTGGTGACCTCCAGAGAGCAAGGAGGGTTTCAGTTTAATTACGTATGTCCTTAGTCTGAATTTCCAAACCTGTCGTTTCGCCCATTGACGAGAAAGCCATGTCGCTGTCGGTGTTTTTACTATTGTATTTGCGCTTTTCTCTGTCGCTGTCGCAGTTTCCACCCAACTTTCTGTTGTTTATCGCCATTTCTGCTGTCCTATTTCGCTGTTTCAAGGGCACGTCGCTTGTCGGACAACATCATCGGCCTCAAAGATCCGCTAGGGAACCAAAGCGTATACATGAAAGAAACCGAACCTAAGCTTGGTAAAGTTTGAAACATTCATTCACAAAAATTCGTCGAGAGCATCACGGGTTAATAACCTGACTTGACGGTTTGAAAATTTGGTTCTTGCGAACACAACTCTTATAGTTTGCCCAGTCTGTAGTCTGCCAGAAATGCAAATTACGGCTGTTGTTCGATCGGTTGCGCAAACACAGCGAGCGGTACAGTTGGTATAATTTTATTTAAGTGTACTTGGGTGAAATTCGTAAAACTGATCGACCATATTAGTATTTTTCGTCATCGAACAAGGATAATCAGGCTACGACTGCTGAGGTCTTCCCTGGTAATCAAGCTTTGTCTAATGAGCTGTAAAATATCGTTGGTTTCTTTCTCTTTTTAATTTGTTAAGATTTTTGACCTCTGTTATTGTTAGAACTGAACTTTGGCTAAAGTAAAAGGTCGTAACGCATTGGTGGCTGGTTCATTTGGGCCGCCTCAAATGTAACCATGCTGGGATTTAGTTGCATAATTTCTTTTCCTTCATGTAATTTTCCAGCACGCGCAATTTCGCAATCACTACCTTGATTATAGCCATCGAGTAACTTACAACTTCAGGAACATCATTATTCATGGGCACAAGGTATATTGTTTGGCTTAATTTTTACACGTTTACGTTAGGAGTAGATTTATTTTGGAGACAAACGAGAATTTCCTTTCTGGGCAATTTATATGGCTATTATCTAAATCTAAATCTAAATCTAAATATCGTTATGTCGGCAAAATCGTTTGGGACATCACGCCAACTCTAAGATAATAATAAATAAAACTATACTAGAATATACAAAACTATTAAAAACTATCAAAAAACTATTAAAAACTATTAAAAACTACTGATAAAAATAAAACTAAATCAGTTTGCTTTTAAAAATACAGAGGGATTGGCTGGAAACAGTTTCTTCTGGAAGTTTGTTCCATTCAGTTATTGTCCTGGGAAAAAAAGAAAATCTAAAAATATCTTTATGTCCTTTCGGTACAATAAATTTAAAATCATGGCTTCCCCGGGTTCTCCTTTCTTTGCTTGTTATCAAATAATCCCCCCGATCCCCATCTAGGAGGCCGTGGCACATCTTGTATACAGTGGAGAGCCTTGCGTGTCTTCTCATTGTTTCAAGTGTGTCCCACTGTAGGTCTTGCAGCATTTCCGTCACGCTCGTTGTTCGATCGTAATTTCCAGTGACAAAGCGGGCTGCTTTCCGCTGTACTCTTTCTAGAGCGGCTTTATCCTTCTGGTAATGTGGGTCCCATGCGCTACAGGCATACTGGAGTTTTGGCCTCACAAGTGTCATATACACGGTTTCTTTCACTGACTTTGGACAATTCCACAGGTTTCGCTTGATAAGTCCCAAGACCTTATTTGCCCTAGATGTGATTGTTTCAATGTGTGGTGACCACCTCATTTTGTTATCGAGCACTACCCCCAGATAAGGGTGAGATTCCACTTCTTCTAGGATTTGTCCACAGAATACGTATTCCCGCTTTGGTGGATCTCTCCTGGTTGTAAAACACATGATCTTGCACTTTGAAGGATTAAATTCCATCTTCCACTTTTGTTGCCAATCTTCTAATCTATACAAGTCCTCTTGGAGATCGGCTGTGTCTTCATCACAACAAATTGTCCCATATAACAATGCATCATCAGCAAAAAGTCTAACAGTAGAGTTAAGACTATCAGGTAAATCATTTATATACATTAAGAACAGTAGCGGTCCTAAGACTGTTCCTTGGGGAACACCAGATGTCGTAACTACAGGGGCAGATGATGCCCCCTCAATTACCACTGATTGGGTACGCTGTGTTAGAAACGATTCAAACCAGTTATGTAGTGGGCCACGAATTCCGTAATAATCAAGTTTCTTCAAGAGTCGGCGATGGGGAACTTTGTCGAATGCTTTTGAAAAATCAAGGATTGCGGCGTGAATTGTTTTGTTAGACTGGATAGCACTTGCTATGTCATGAATGGTACATATGAGCTGTGTTTCTGTTGATCGTTTCGCTCTAAAGCCATGTTGACAATCAGTGAGCACTCCATATCGTGAAAGATGCTTCATAACATGGCTGTGTACAATATGCTCAAGTACCTTTGATGCAATGCAGGTAAGTGACACGGGCCTATAATTTGAAGGATCCGATTTCTTTCCTTTCTTGTGAATAGCGCATACGTTGGCATGTTTCCATTGGATAGGCACAGTTCCGGTATCAATACAATCTTGATATATATCAGTAAGAACCTTTGATATTTCATGGGCATTCTCCTTTAAAAACCAGGGTGGAATTCCATCCGGGCCATACGCTTTGTCTACCTTCAACTCGCTAAGTTGCTTTTCAACTCCACAGGTTGTGATGTTTATTGTTCCAATAGTCGGAATAGGGCTTTCGCCAGGGTCTGGGATATTCTCTGATTCTTCGTTGTTGAAAACACTGGAGAACTGACTATTTAGCGGGGAGGATGAGTCTCCCCTCCTTTTGTTTTTTCTTCGTGAATTTTTCTCCCGCGCTGTACTATCTGAACGCCTGCAACAGGCTAATACGGGCACTGAACGGGCCATAGAAAATGTCCGTATTAACCGGGTCATGTTATTCAAGTCAAAATATACCTTTTATTAGAACAAAATACTAAAGAAATAAAAGACGACATTAGCATGGTCAAATTAATTAAGATCTCTAATCTTCTCAAAGCCGTCATTACGCGGAAAAATCCACAGAAACACTCTAAAATCGCTCAGCTATACACGACTTAAAACAAAACTGTTCTCTGCGTAACTCTTTTGATGCCAAAATAGTCTGAAATTGACGTCTGCAAATCATCCTCTCCGGTGTAATGAAGCACTTGGAACATCGTCACGATGTCACCCAAGGGCATTTTTTTACCTTCAGAATTTAAAGTGTCCGTACTAGCAAGGTTTACGTTCTATGAGAATTTGTTAGTAGGGCAAGTGTCCGGTGTCCGCGTTAATGGGTGTCCGTATTTAAGCGGGTTGAATTAGAGAAAATGTAAGGACTTTCTCACAGGAAAAAATAACGGATTCCAATTTTTGGATATTTTAGGGTATTTAAAGAGTACGCATAAAAATCCAAAATTTGGCAAAGTGAGACAAGTCCCAACAAGGGAATTTCCAACCAAGTTCCCTGATTGGGACTTGTCTCACTCTTCCAAATTTAGGATTTTTGTGGGTATTCTTTAAATACCCTAAAATATCCAAAAATGGGAATCCGCTATTTTTTCCTGTGTCTCCCCAGGGACAAAGAAAACTGTCTGTAATAACGAGGTATCCGTATTAAGCGGGTGTCCGAAAAACGGGTTCAACTTTACCATTTCTGACAGAAAAAATACTCCTTTCGTATATCTTCTATTATGAAAAATGGTTGCCCTTTCACAGTGTTTAGTTTAGAACTTTGCATCTCTTTTAACTTCCGTAAATGAAATGTCTTAAAATATGAATAAATCACAAAATCTCGACTTATTCATTCACAGCGATGAAATGCATCAATTATCCCTTTTGACGGAACGGAATGACAGATTTCCCCCTACTCTTTCATATACTTCAACAAGTGAAATTGCCCACCCTTTCCTATCCCTGAGGCCTGAAAAAAGGTACCCCTTTCGGGCGGAGCCTCCCCATATAGGCCATTATAGGAAGTACCTGCGCGGGGGTTGGCTGAAGCTGTTGCTAAAAATCTTGCCATTGCTTAACCCTTTAAACCCTAAGAGTGATCAGAATCAAATTTCTCCTTGTAATATCAATGCTTTGTAAAACAGAGTGGTCATGAGAATAACGAGTCACATGACTGCCTAAAAGAGCATTTAGCATCTAATTCTGATAAGCTCTGTCTTCAAAGGAGTCGTCAGGTCTATAAAATAAAAAATGGCTTGTAGACCAAGGCACACAATCTCTCTTATTTTTGCAGTAACTTTTTTTTCGCGGGATTTAAATTTTGCGACTATTTAGCAAGGACGAAAATGAATTCTGGCGAAATTATTATCAATAAAGTGCGAATTATCCCCTTAGGACAAATCCAGCCGGAACTTTTGTCCTTTTTTAACACCTCGTGAAGCTGTCTAATGCAAATCTCCTGAAAATCATAAGATGTAACAGTTTCTTTACATTTATTTACGTGAAGTTGGGTAAATATATTTTCACTAGACTGATGTTTTTCATCATTTCGTCATTTGAGGTCCAAAATGCGGTAGGACAAATCGAACTGGTCTGAAACAGGGTAGGATTGGGTCTAAGAAAGCATCAGTAGCCCCCAGCCCCCCCTCCCCCGAATTACCCCCTTTACAGGCCTAAGGGCATTGCTGGTGGCCATTGGGTCGCGTTGTCTGAGGGAGGGGTGGGGTCAAAGACAGTGCCGTCCTCTTAAACAATCAACCTCGTTCCCAGAGTCTCTCTTGGAAGATGAGCGATCCTAGGAACGAGGCCATAGATATTTTTACAAAAATGCAAAAGAAGATTGCCAAAGTCAATATATTGTTGTTACGTTATCATTACAGAAGTCACACTCAAAAACATGGACAGCGAAGTCAAGTACACTGATAGGTTTCTGAAACTGAACAGAGATTCGTCCGTGGAAGAATCGAAACTGGCTTATGATGAAATGGCCCCAAGCTGGGAGAAGGTATATGAATGCCGCGATAGATGATTTAGTGTTCTGTGGTTTCGGGAGGTCAAAAAACGAAAGTAGAAAGAAGATACTGTAAGCTTATTTAAAAAGTCGACCTGCCCCTTAAATTTGGAGGAGAATCAGAATTCGACCCTTGCAGTAGTCAGTTCGCTTCACTTTGTGACTTTCCCGTATCGATTTAGGTTTCTGGGAAACTGCTCACAAAAGCGGGCCAGCGCGGCTAACCTGTCTGGCTCGCCTCGTATAAACAGGCCACAAGCCTCATCCAATAAATCGTAACTATCTAGTTTCTTGCTTCTATTTTACTCTAATATGAAACAAACTTTCGCTAATTTACTGCAATATTTTAAAAAGCCTACTTCTCACACACCACTGGTAGCCATGCCAAGCCGATCAAGCCGACCGCCGCAGCCTGACCTTTATTTTAAACTCAAAAAATGCATACATATCATAACCTTAGAAGGTAGGATGCTAACAAAAACTACAAAGTTGCACCGTACATTTAACAGCATACAAAACTGAAATCTTAGGGTGGGTGGGTGGGTGTGAAGGTCAGTAATGGCGGACGCAACAAAAGCAACTGCCCGCCCTTCAGTCACATGACCAACACCCAGGCTCACAGTGGTGTGTGAGAAAAACATTTTCCACTTAAATTCGTTACACTCAGCCAGTGGAAAATTACCCGTATTTCTTTTTTCGTAGATAAGCGAAAATGTGGGTTACAAAGGTCACATTCTTTGCGTGGAGGCGTTTAATCGCGCTGTGCGTTCCAACGATGTTTATCCTAACCCCAAAAAAGACATAAAAATCCTTGACGCCGGAGCAGGCACAGGAGGGATTGGCGAGATGTTGAAAGCTCGAGAATACACTAATGTCGACGCACTGGATATTTCCCAGGAAATGTTAAATTTAGCGGCCAGTAAACATCTGTACAAGAAACTGATCTGTGCTCCGTTGTCCGACACGCATATGAAGGAGATAGAAACTGCTGAATATGACGTGGTGTTGTGTGCAGGCGTCATAGTGTATGGGCAAGTGAAGCCTGGGGCTATTGAGCAATGCGCGCGCTTCGTAAAACCCGGTATGTGAGTTTCTTTTCTTGTGAGTGTAGTGAGAAGGAGTGAATGGTTTTGTGTCGTAGTTTAAGTGTGCGCGCCTTTAGCCTGTTCCAGTTAGTACAGTGCGGCGTACAGATGGTGGGGAGCGAGTTAAATCGTAGTCGGGGAAAACGAGGGGAAAAAACGAAGGAAGACTTCCCTTTTTCCCTCTCCGGTCTCCCCCCGGTTTTTATTTCTTCGTCAATTTTTCGCCTGCGCTTTTTAATCTGAACGTCTGGAACAGGCTAGCGCGCCCTGAACAGGTTTTTGTTTAGGTTGGCACTCCACAGAATTCTATCCACACACTCGAAAATTTAAGGGTATTACTTGAACTTATCATCATCATCATCATGGTGTTTGAAGGGCGAAGTACAAATCCAAATATTCGTGCATGGAAAAAATACACACCAAGTTACCCTAAGAAATAGTCATGCACTGGCCTAAAAAAATTCATACAAGGGAAATGTTAACGAAAAAACGTCATGCGACTCGAAAATTCCCTCCCTTCCATAACTTTTTTAATGGTCCGTTCCTTCCTTAGTAATAAGTTATTGTAAACGTTGGTGCATTCTCTCTTGAACGTCTTAGTATTTTCTTGTGTTTCTTTTGTAGGTGGCCTGTTTATTTTCTCCATTCGTTGCGATTCCTATGACCCCGTAGAGTACGGCTATAGTGCCACATGCGAGAAATTAGAAAAATCAGGGAAATGGAAGCTGATACTGAAAGAAAAACGTGAGCTTCATGCAACACCAAACGAGGAACGATATCGTTATTGTTACCTTATCACATATAAAGTGCTTCAGTAACAATTACATTGTACCAGGAGCCCCTGATTGTACTTGATAACTAAAACGAAACTATTTCGCTTTTATGACTGAGAGGTTCAACCCCCCCGCCCCCTCTCTAATATTCACGAATATTGTCAATATAGGTTCGTTGCATTAATAAAAGATTGAAAGAACTCCCTCGTTTGTATTTTATAACTTTTACTCTTTAGGGCTTTATTGACCATATTTTTCTTATTTGACCCCGTTTTTTGACTTTTTTCCCCACTGCGGAACCTTGTCCCAGGCTAGTCTTGTGAAAGGGGCGTTAATTCCCGGAGGGTTCTTGCACAAAAAGTGCAATCTTCACGATGTGATCGTCAAGGACGGCAAAGACATGTCCAAAAAGGATTGATGTACGTGCGAAGTTATTGTTTTGACAAGTTACACCTATCGCGTTGTAATATTTTGAATGAATAACACATACTCGTAGCTTTCTCAAAGTCCTCACCCTTTTCCTGTCAGAGAACTAGCTCCAACAGATTCTTGACACTTGAACGACTTTTCTCCAAGTTTGGCAAAGAAACTGATGAGGTTCATCTCTGATAATTTCACACCATTCCACGATAAGAATATAGCACACAAATTTGTTTATGAGTTTGGCTTGATCCCCCGGGGCCTTGATATTGCCCTGGTAATGTAGCCATCTACTTTTTATGCACAATTTTTTTTGTTTTGCATTAGCGATATCTCGCGTTACTTTACCTTTTGATATTTGCCAACCAGTGGCTTTTTCGTTCATGAAACGAGTTCTTTTGTTTCGGTCGTACCAAGAGAAATTGAAGACATTCCTTATTCAACAATTTTAGTGCTCCAGTCCTATCGGCGAGTTTGGGCGGGGCACGGGGGTGGGGTTGGTGCAGTACTTCATGTATGATGGGCAATGTGAAAATGGTGAATCTGTCTTGCTGCTGAACAAAGGTGAGTTTGTTCTATTCATTTCATTGTCAAAACTCAAGTTGAAATCTGCCTTTATTTAGTTAGAAGCGCAAAGCTGCTGGGTGTGGTAATTACAAGCGATTTATCACTGATGGAATGAGCACGTTAACGAAACTGTCAAGATCAATCCTAGTTTATGCAGAGCCAACTGCCCAAGTATTTACAGATTGCGCTGGAACGGGTCCAAAAAAGGGCATTATCAGTCATTTGCCGCAGTCTGTCTTATGACGAGGCACTTGATGAAGCTGGTATTTTAACCAGTATTTCATATGGCGGGGACATATATGTGACAAGGTTTTTAACACTGCCCTCGGCAACAGGGATAACAAACTTAATAACAAGTTATTAACTGAGGCCAATAAGGCTCCATATTCACTAAGAAGTCAGAGACACTTTGCATTTCCAAAATGCGAGACGGACCGTTTTAAGAACGCTTATTTTGTCATCGTGCCTAAAGTTCAATTAAATGATTCGGTTTTAATGCTTTTATATGTTATATGCATGAATTTTTAACATTTTTAATATTGATGTGTTTTAAATTAATCTATTTTAAGCTTAGTTTTATTTGCAAATACGCAGTTCAGCCTCTGGCTGCCCATGTATTTATTTAATAGACTATCCATCTGTCTATCTAACACTGGAAAAGTGCAACGTTTGAAGATTCCGTAATCAAATCAGTCCAAGTTAGTTTATAATCAAGCTATTATCAACTGAATGATAATTAAGTTACTGTGACTTCGTTCCATGGTCATGCACATTTTCAGGGTAAAACTCGACGTAAAGCGCACTTTTTTGGTTTCTTGGCTTAAAGAACGAGGTATACGTACACGCCATTTTTTTCTGCTTGTGGCGGCTTAGAGACTCGTGAAAAGGTCAAAAGGTCACTGGAACAATCTGACCATGGAACGGCATCATCATTGTCTTAACTTGGAGATTAGTGGTGAAGAGTAAACTTGGTTCACTCAGTTTGTTAGCTTTAACCACTAAACTTCAGAGTCATTTTGTGTTCGGCGGTTGTTCTGCGTGTAAACAATGCGATTTTTTATATTTTATTGGCAGTAAGGACAGTAAATTCCTAAAGGATAGGAATGCTATCGAACGTTGTGCACGGTGAGGTCCAAAAAAGCAAACAAAAGCATATAACAAAGGAGTCTAACAGGTTTCAAAACCATTCCCCTATGTCTGCGTGTAGGTTTATTTCTCTTGCGTCAGTGTTAGAGAACGAGTGGGAGAATGCATGGGGAGAGTTCGAGGAGGGACAGTGATTCCTCCCCCTCTTCTGTTTCTTTAGTTCTTTTTTTCTCATGCTCAGACTTCTCACGGTCAGAGCAACCGTCACAAAGAGCTATGTACAACATAGACATTAGAATTTGTTTGCAGTTTAGGTCTTGTGTACTGCTGGCTAAGCTGTGACTCGAGAGTGGTAAGTTACTAGGTAATCAATCTGACTACCAGTGTTTCTATTATTTCCTCTTCAGAGAGACCCTGGGAACGAATTTTCTTGGTACTAAGAATCCTTTATTGTTTTTCAAGACTAACACTTTAAGACATGAG